TGGGCCTCATCCAGTTCACTGTGATCATTATGAAAATGGTTCTTGATTTGCAGGGGAGCAGTGGTGTGGATTAGATTTTTCTATAATATATGTGCTTATATTACACCAACAATTTATGATTGACAGTTTTGATGCTATTGCTTTTTGCCTGTGATGAAAGGCCTCAGACTGAATAGATGGAACTAAATGTAATTGCATTTCATCCAAGCTTTTCTTTCTTTTCTTTGCACAAAATTTTTGTCAGATATTTCCCAAAAAGGAAGTAGATTTCTGACAAAGATACTGATACAGCGAACTGTCACCTGCTTTCCTTTTCTTCACAAAAATCCATTGGAAAAACTGTTGCCTTCCTCAAAAGATGATTATATATAGAGGATACAGAGGAGTGAATATATGTGTGGCATGATTTCACGATGTAAGAGGTTTCCTTGGTGTGTTCTTATTCCAGAAAGAAATGTATTTCTACAGCTCGTGATCTTTATAAATCAAAGCATAAAACAGGGTTGAGGTTTTCTACAATGATCAAGAAAATAAGAATAGCAGTGAAATATAGAAGAACACATAGTCCTTGGGAGAAGGAGAACAGGAAAAAGTTATCATTCCTTGATGTCAATGTCTTATTTTTTACTTTTTTTGTACTTTCAAGTAGTTAATATGACACATGCATATTAGTTTGATGCCAGAATTTCTCATGTGGATTATCTCAGGTCTAACAACACAGTTGCACACATATTGCAACATTTCCCATCAGCAGAAGAGACTAAAGGGATCTCCTCTCTATCTAAATGCTTGTGTTTGTAATATTCTTAATGACAGGGTAACTTGGAGAGCTTTACCGCTCTGTCTTACTTGGTTTTAATTAACCAACATGATATGAAGTTCTGAGAAGTTTTATGCATTGTCTATAAAACCAAGATTACAAAACCAAAAGACTAAGCTAACTTTCTGCTAAGGATTTAAGTATTTAAGACACTGCATAGAATATGACAACAGGCTTCACTGAAATATTTGTGGTAAAAGATAAACAAAACTACAGAAAGCACCATTTTTATTCAGCTACTGAGTGCAAACAAAATGGTGTTGGTTAATTAACATGTGATGCATCCCACACAGCAGCATATTTTTTTCATATCCACTTTGAATGCCATTTATTTAAACTTTTCCAATCTGTGTCATTCCCAATACAATTTTTGCTTTCCTGAACCATTCTTGGACATGAATGCTTTATCTGAACTAGGAAATAACAGGTTCACAGAAACACTCATTGTCGCAGACATCTTTTTATGAGAAATCTTTCCTTAGGATTTTTTTCCTCTTGAGAAGCTGAGAGGCCTCAGGGACAGAATGTAAACAATGATTATCTGCTGCTGTGTAATGCAACAGGTAGGTGTGTGATTGGTCTCATGTGGATGTTTGTAATTAATGGCCAATCACAGCCCAGCTGGCTTGGACACAGTGTCTGAGCCACAAACCTTTGTTATCATTCTTTCCTTTCTATTCTTAGCTTAGCTAGCCTTCTGAGATGAAACCTTTCCTTCTATTCTTTTAGTATAATTTTAATGTAATATATATCATAAAATAATAAATCAAGCCTTCTGAAATATGGAGTCAAATCCTTGTCTCTTCCCTCATCCTAAGACCCCTGTGACCACCATCACACGCTCATTCCTACATAAATTATGACAGGAAATCAACTGTTATTTCCGTTCAGGTGGCAGAGGGTCACACTTTGTGACTGTCTATTCTGGAACTAAAAATTAAAATACACCTCAGCAAATTTGCCAGCCTAGATGATTTTCAGCACTGTTTTTCCTTTGGGGAATAATGTGGCTTAGGGAAGGGCTACAGAGGAATGTTCAGGTTTTCTTCTCTCTTCCACCTACTCTGAATTGCCTAGGAGTATGTCACTAGTAATGAAGCAAAAACCACATTTGTATGGTTTTATGAGCATTTTATACAAAACTTTGCCCGTTTTCATAAAAAATAAAAGCCATTTGTTTAAAGCATCAGAGCAAATAAAGATGGTAAAATGTCAAACTAAAATCTCAATTCCATGCATGGTAGAAAAATACTATATTACCAGCAAAACTTCCCTGCATAAAAATATGCTGTACAATTGCATATACATGCAAAAATGATTAAATATAAAAATAATAACAAATGCCATGGCAAATGTCTGATGCGTTTGCAGCTGGCAATATCCTTTCATGTGTCATATTAACTACTGAAAGTACAAAAAAAGTAAAGAATAAGACATTGACATCAAGGAATGATAACTTTTAGCAACCAGGAAAGATCTAGGTCTGAAATTTCCTGCAGCTTATGGCTCATGCAATAAAAGTTTTCAGTTCATTCCATTCAAATATCAGGACATGAATCACCTGAAATTTCATATCATATCAGATTTCCCAGAAATGTTTCATGTCAAATTCTCTGTTATTCATTTTTATAAATTTTCTTATGGAAAAGGATATTATTTCATATGCCTCTGAAAATAAAACTGTTATGAAAGAAGCTCTACAGGCCTTCCTTAATGTTTGCAGTTTAGGGAAACGAAAATTGTGAAATAAAGCTAAATAAATGGATTATTTTATACTTTGCCAAAACACTTGCTTGAGTGTCGTTAGGATCATTCTGTTCCCTGATCTCCTGAGAGCTGAGAGATCTTAGAATGAGAGAGGAAAATAATTGCCTCAGAACCACTAAAGGTAGAATTCCATTTTCTTTAGTTTCCATGAAGCTGTCCTGAGCAACAGTTAAATAGAAGCCCCCACAATACCAGTGAAAATTATAATTTCCAGAACAAGTCCTAAAATATCTGCAAGAAAGTGGAGAGTCTGAAGAGCGCTCAGGCTACACAAAACCAAAGCTGCAGATGATGTCACGATTAAGAGCATTGAAGTGGCCAAACCACTGAGTCCCAAATTTTTGTCCTCTCAGTTTTATCTATAGTTTTCCTCCTTGACCTAGTAAAATTGCAACCCAGGGTAGGATGCCATCAAGAAAGTACATTTATTCAGGCAATAAAATACCATCTTGCTCTCTATTTCCATCACTTTTTCATATTGCAGGGAAAATCACAGCCATGACTCTTTTTTTTTGGATGACACAAACCTGCTCCATCATCATTTCTACTAAAAATTTCTTTTCTCATATAAAATGTGTCTTTAAAGAGCCTACAATATTTTTAACATTTGTTATGTAATCAATACACTAAACTGTTCTTTACATAACTATATTAAGACTCGTTCATGATTTCAGTCAATCTTGTTGCTTTGAAATGTTGTTCAGTATAAGCTTTTATTGGGGTGGGAATATGGAGTAATGACATATTTCGTTTAAAACTTAACAATTGTGGGGTCTTTATTATTTAAGATCAATCTGTCCTTTCAAATATTAATTATTTTCATAGCTGTGCATGAAATATGTCTTTTATTTACTCACTTTGCAGTCAGTATAAGCATTGATTAGAAATTAATATTTAATGGAAATATTATATTAATGTGGTTGATAAGTAATTTTATGGTGGCAGGTCTTGTTTCCTTTTTCTTATTCAATTGAGTGATAGGTCACATCTGTGAATAAGGTTGCTTTTAGTGAGGGTGCAACATTCAGAACCACTTTGAACATGGAACTTTATATCTTGCTTCTAGAATGGAAACTGTTTAAACATTAGTTTAAAACTCTATACCACAGCTTTAATACAAATATAACCTATAATAAGCCTGGAGAAAATACAGTCATCGGATATCGGTAAGCGATGAGCTTGTATTTAAAAGTGTTCACTTTGAGTCCTGTGTGCAGTATGTAGCACCACAATACAAGGATATAAAGTTATTAGGGAGCATCCAGAGGAGGACTGTGAAGATACTTAAGTGTCTAGTGGAGAAGTCATATGAGGAGTGGATGAAATTACTTGGTTTGTGCAGACTGGGACTGGGGTTAGACCTCATTGCTGTCTGTAACTTCCTCTTGAGGGTAAACAGAGCAGCAGACATTGATCTCTTCCTTGTGCTGACAGCGACAGGACCTGAGGAAATGGCCTGAAGCTGAATCAGGAGAAGTTTAGGTTGGATATCAGGAAAAGGTTTTTCACCCAGAGGGTGTTTGGGCACTGGAACAGGCTCCCCAGGGAGGTGGCCAGAGCACCAAGACTGACAGAGCTCAAGAAGCACGTGGACAATGTTCTCAGGCACATGGTGTGACTGTTGGGGTTATTCTGTGGAGCGCCAGGAGAAGGATCCAATGATTCTTGTGAATCACAGAATCATAGAATATCCTGAGTTAGAACTCAGTAATATCCCTTCCACCTCAGGATAGTCTATTGATTTGAATTTGATGATTCTGGCATCTATCTTGTGATCAGTCAGCTCAGATATTCTTGAATTTAGGAAATGTTCCTGTGTAGATCCAAACTTGCACAACACAGCCTTTCCATGTGCTGTTTAAAAGCATCTGCAGACAGAAAAAGCTTAACTATTTTTTTTTTGCTACTGTGAATGTCAGCACTGGCTGGTAGATGTTGTTCAGTCTCTATCTGTGGCAGGCTGCCCTGTTCCTTCTCTGAGGGGGCGTTAAAGCACATTCTTGCAGCATGGAGAAAGATATTACAGAAACTACCATTACAAGTAGTTGTCGTCAAGCACATATATTTGGGTTGCAGACCTCCATTTAAACCACCCTGAAGTAAAACTGCAGATGTTTTTACCTGCACTATTTTTATGGTTTCCTTTTAGCACCTTATAAAAGATGAATTCTTTGCTCTCCCTTATTAACAGTTAATCTGACCCTGTTTATCCAGTGTAAAAAACCACTGAAGAGATAGATCACAAACATAAAGGACCTACTGGAAAGCAGGGAAGGAATCACTGAACTGACAGTGCATAGCAATGTGTCACATCCAATGGCCAATAGTAACATGGAAAATCGTTGTCCAAGGCAATCAAACAAAGCATTACAAGAAGAGAAATGTACACTTTACTTTTTTTTTTCTTTTCCAGAACCACATAAAAAAGAAAAAATAATGGACTCTGGTGAATATTCTCTCCTTTTAATCTTACTTTTAAACAATACTAATATTTTAAATTAATTCTTGTCAGAAGTTAATATTTGATACTTTTTAAAATTTGCTTTTACAGGCAAAACAACAAAGAAAGAAGCAAAAGTACATGGTAAGTCCTGTATAAGACAGTAAGTTTTAGAGTCTCATTTATCTGGTTTGATTTTCAGTTGAGACAGGATTATGTAGAGGGTTTAAAAAAATATAGCCATGAATATAATTTTGGTGGTTTAATTAAAGTTACTTAAGCAATTGAATGGATGTGGAGCAACCATTCGGTCTTCTGGAACTGAGATCTAATTAAATGTTGAGAAGAACAAGAGGGAAAGAATTCATTATTTAATCTTTTAAAAGGTTTCTCTTTTCAAAGGAAGTTACAGTAAATGGATAGAGAAATAAACACAAAATACAAGATTCAGAATGTGGATAGTAGGTAAAAGAAGTAGGCTGTTTAATTTTTCTTTATGCCAAGTACCCATGCATTTTATTGTAGCAAGGTGCTCTTGTTCCCAAGTGGAACCCACTTCTCCAAATTTGGGAGACCCACTTTATTCAAATTTGGGAGAGCATTAAGATTTTCTCCTTTTACAGCCAAGCTTGATGACTCATTCATCAGATGACTCTATTTTCTCAGATAGAAATTCTGAGCATGAAATTCCTACAGTAGAAAGTCAATTTGTAGAAAAATTAATCTGTCCTTTTCTATAACATAAAAACTTGTCACCATGCTTCAGAATGAAGGTGCGAATAATGAAAAAAAAAGAGAAATGTGATAGTTCAATTAATTTGCTTTTAATTAATGCAATTGTGAAGAATAGTAAAGAAATTATCTGAGAAAACTTATATAAAGGAAGAGTTTTGGAACTGGATCCTCCTCTGTATCAATTCTAGAAGTTTCAATAAACTCAAAACAAAAAAAGTGAAAAAATTCCTGGCTTCTGCAAATCTCTGAAATTGTTAAAAAATAATTTCTATTGCATACCTTCCACCTATATTTATTATCTGCCCATTCTGGAGCCTATTTCGCTCCTTGTCTCATCCTTACACTTGAAAATAGCAGAGTGGTTGAAGCTCCATATATAACTTATCTATTGGCCTTGTTTTCCACTGCTTTTAATCTGCAGGTTCATTAGTCATCTGCCATGAGACTATCTAAACAAGCAACACATTGTGTGTCATTTTTTGTTTACATAAAAAATGAACTCCTGCTCTGCATAGATAAGTAGCATATTGATAAAGAGAGGAGTTGTTAGGAACAATTTTAAATCCTTTATTCATTTTATGCAATTTGTTTCTGTGAATGTTTTATTTTACAGCAGCTGCAGAAACTCCAAAGTCAAAAGGTAAGTAATTTGAATTGGTTTTGAAAATTTAAATGGAAGAATGCTGCTGTTAACTTAACTGTAATGAAAAAAAACCTGCTTGTGAAAAAACTTTTAACAGTATGGTTTAATTGGAGCAAACAGCCTTTTAAATTATGGTGTCTTCATTGTAGCATCTCAAAGCAGGCATTCTTTCCTCAAATTTTTCATGGACTAACAATCCAACAATTCTTCAACAATCTGAAATTCAGTTTCTAACCCTAACTCAAGCCATAAGGCTTTTGTGACAGGCAGAAAGGAGAAGTAACCAATCTTCTACAGAGACATGACACAAAGTAATAGTTCTCTTTTTGCAATTCTAACTGCAGGACAAACCCAGTGACTGAACAGTTGCTGTCTTTAAGGAGTCATGGGGATTTTGCAGGGAGGTTTGGTGTAACAGGTTTTGCCTGCTTTTCATCCATGAACTGTCGGTGGCAGGAGGTAGGAGGTGTGAGAGCATCAATGCTTGCTGCAAAGGTTCCTCCTTTCCACAAGGCACAGGGAACTGGGACTGGTGAGAAACATCAAGGATGTAAGCCCAAGCTGAGCAAATATAGCGAACATTTAATTGTTTTATATCAGTGTCTAGTTTTTACATATGTACATTGTAAGTTACTAGCTCCAAATTGCCCTCAAGAACATTAATGATCCCAGTTGTAACTTAAACAAAAACAGAAAGTGGAATGTCAGGTTGCAAACCGCCCTTCACTCTTAGTCCATGTTTATTCATGTCAATGACCACCATACTTTTAAAAGCATTCCCTTTCAGACAAATGAGAGGAAAGAAGAAGTTTTAGGAAGTTCAGTTAATTAAGGATAAGTAGGAACAGTGGGTTTCCATTATATAATATAGGAATAATTCTGTTATTTCTGTTGTCAAAAGAACAGTCTCACAACTGAAAGTGTTGACCTCAGCCATCTTAGTTTAACCATAGGATCAACCTAATACTGAACTTGAAATTGTTCCCCAGTGTCTAAGTTGTCTAAGACAACTTTGTTTTATTCTGCATTAAATAAAAATGAGCTGATTTTAGCTCTGGGGAAATTGTTGATTTCTTAAAAATTTCTTGTTAGCACATCATCTAAATTTAACTTCATGTTGCTAATTTTGAAACTCAAACACAGCCTGTACTCCAGGGGGAAAATCATATTTATATGAAAATGTTACAGCTGTTCCTTTTGCCACTTAGTAAGAATCACAAAGAAATGCTGTTATTTTCTTCTATATTATTTTGTGCTGCAGACAAATCCTGGTAGTGTTTAATTGTAATAATTTGGTAGTGTTTAACCTTTCTTTAAGTCTGAAGAAAGTTATAGATATGAAATCCACATTTCTTTGTTCTACATTGTTGCTATTTATTTGTTTGTTTCTGATGTTAGTCCTTAGAGACTTAGCAGCTCTTTGGACACAATGTAATTTTCAATATTCAGTAGGTGTTGGAAAATGTAAATTTTTTTAAGCATATTCATGGAAAGCAAACAATTCTGTTCTGAAAAAAAACAAGGCTTTGGATGAAATTCTCTTCTTTGTTAATTAAACAAAATTAATCTGGTGCCATAGAAGGAGGTCTGGGCCATTCCCACCAGCTTGGACTTTCTGTGAACTATCCAACTCACCTGGAGCTTTCTTGCATTTTCTCACAAGCTACTATAGTATGATTATTTTTTTTATTTCTCCATATAACAGAACAGTTCCTAAACCATAACATACACCTCTTAGGTTAATGATTTCTTGATTTTTGTGATGCCACAATGAGGAGCCTCTGGCCTCGGGGCTCAGTGAGTGAAATGTTTTTTGTTTCCAGTGGGAATGATTTCTTCCAGTCTTCCATCACACTGAGCAAATATCTCAAAATAGCTTTAAAATCAGTGACATTTTAGAATGCATATTTTTGATGTGGATGCTAGTTATGCAACCTGTCTCTTTTGGGACAAAAATATTCTGACAAATTTGATTATAGCCTACAACTATTGAGACTGCACAAATATTTGACTGATAAATTGCTCTCCTGGCCACTCTCAGCATAAAACAATATTTGCTGAATTGTCTCTCATTTGTTTCCTAAGAGCTTATGATGGAATCAGAGAAACAATTATAAAGTAAATTTCCCATTTGATCTATATTATGCCAAATTGTCAAGAATTTTGTTGAGAAGTGACAAAATATATGTGGGAGTATTACTCTATTTATTTAATCTATTTTTTGAAACTATGTTTTACTGAAAATATAGATCCCTGATGAATTCCTGATTTTGCCTTCATTTTATTTTGTGTTGTTTCATAAAGGAGTTTTTGTGGGTTTGGTTTGGGATGGGGGGGTTGTATTTCATGATTTTTTTTAATGTCTGCCATTCTACAGAGGAGTAAATCATAATGCATTACAACAATCATATTACCAAAGTCATATGGCTAAAAGATCAGCTTTTCAAATAGGGAATATTTGGAACAGAATAATTTTTCACAAAGAAATAATCTTTCAGGCTGCCATTCAGAAGTGACAAGAACTTTAAAAATGCCCAGTGGAAGGGATGGCATCTTGACCTACTCAGAAAACTTGTCTCTGTTTTGATAGAAACAGAGAAAACCAGACCTGAATCTTATTCTAAACACTGAATCTACATGGATGGGCTTCCTGTTTATGGAGACTTTCAAAGTGACAACTCTTACCTTGATGGCAAAAGACCTCTCAGCATCACCAAAGTAGCTCATGCCTCTCTTCTGAAAAAGCAAAGGGAATAACAGAATGTCCTGTTTGTCGTCCCAGATACTGCTCTGCCATGTCTAGATGATGTTACTTGGCAGTTCCCAAAAAGTTACTGGAGCTCTGTTCTGTCTGAGCAAGTTCTTTACAAGCACTTATTCACTCATGCAAGTGATGTTGCATTACTGAATGCACTGCTAACCAGAATAGTGTTAATATATCTACAACTGGTTGTTAGAGCAGCCTTGATGTTTCTCAAGGATGGATGGTTCCTTCATGATCACCACACTCGTGGTCTACCGTCACCACTTTCATTTGATGACTAAACACCTGATTTTCTTAGAAAGTTGCATGCAGTTCAGTATCCAGAAAAAAAAATACTTTTATTCCATTAAAATGGAATAAAAGTATTTATGTGATGTGAGCAGGTGAAAAAATTTACAGAAGTTTTACAAACCAAAACTGTTTCATTCCAGCTAAAAAGGATAAAAATGCCTTGAAGAAAACAATAGTTCTCAGCAGCTCATTTAACTCTTGTCATAGCTGCTTTTGCAGTTTTAATGATAAAAATATATTTTGAAATGAGTATGGGACATGTTTCTCGTGTCCCTTTTCATATGTTTCTTTCCATATTCAAATAGGCTTATTCTTCAAGATACTGACCACTTCAGTAAGCATTTTAGAAGGATTGTGATATTGATTTACTCAATGGCAGGGCTCACTGCTCAGATTCATCTTGGCTTGTCAGAGTCTAGTTCATGGTTAGTATAAGTAATACTGCTGATCGAGGCCCAGGTACTATGGATGATAATAGCAGAGGTCTACAATAAATATTAAGGTTGTTTGGTTCTTTTTGGCTTTCTCTGTGTCCATGAACAACAATTAAAAATTAGGTACTTGGATAGAAATGGAATACTCCCTTTTTTTTTTTTTGAGGATTGAGTCAGACATATTTTAAACCTAGATTTTATATTCAGGAAAATGGAAGATTAGCTTTAATAAAATGAGTTCCCTGAGGTAACCGAGGTGCAGAAGTGCAATATGGCACTGTTTACATGGAGCTTGCTCACAAACACCTGCTCACATCACAAGGGAGTAACTGATGCCTGTGAGAGGGTTCATCCCACTCAAGATGAAACAGTTCATCTATCGATACCTGACTTTTCACTGAATCTCAGGGTCAGGGCATCTGGGATCAGAAGATCATTCCTTTGGCCACCAGCAGACATTGCAGACAGGCCATAGCTCATTAACTGAGCTGATCTGCTCGAGCCAACATGCCCAGCAGCTCCAGAATGCTCTTGAAAGGATGTCCTGGTGGCTCCCCTCGGGCCAGACTTGCAGTCCAGACAGCAGGGAAACAGTGAGCACACATGGAGGCACTTCATAGGTCCTTTGAATTCCCTGCCTTTCCCAGCATAAATCGTGATAACAGAACATGACCCTCAGAATTTACTTTGACTCTAAAAGACAGACTTTTAATTTTCAGCTGTGATTGGTTCTAATAAAATGACAGGGTGGAATAACAAACTGAGAGGTTGTTATATGTGCTCATGACTCCGAAGCTGTAGACATTTTCTATACTCATCACATGTAACTTAATTTTCACTGTTCATTTTTACACCCTGACACTTATGTTGATTGTTTGTTCTTTAGAGTACTTTCAAACAATGACAGTGAATCTTATTTTCTTAATGCCACATTTTTTGTCTCAACCACTGTAAGATGATAGCATTTTAAATTAAAGCAAGGTTTTTTATTTAGCATAATAGTTATAAATTATGGCTAAATAAGCGTAGTTTCACAGAAATGAAGTATTGGAAGTGCCATTTAGAGCTAAACATGTATATTTATAGATTTACAATATTTAACCCCAAATAACTAAATGAAATGAGAAATATATAGGTTATCCTAAAGATATAATCTTGTATATGACCAAACCTGCAGTGTAAATTGTCAGAAACTATGAAAGATACCCATATTTCTGTGAACAAAGTCTAATGGTACCTCTTCTTGCACCACCTCTTCTTAGATAGTTTCATCCTTAATATCCCATCTCCCAAGATATGTAAATGAATTTTAAAACTGTGCTTGCCAAGCTTGTGAATAAGCAGTTGGATATGTCCATGCATCCTGACCTGCACTGTTACAGTTGCTTCCCCTGGTGTCAGTAAAGGTTAAGCAGCCGTGCTGCCCAAGTGGTCTGGGTCACACTTCTTGCTTGCCCACAGAAGTCTCAGTATTCAGAAGGATCAAGTCAGATGCCATAACATACAGCCCATCTGTGGCCTGCCACCTTCACTGGGCCCAACCACGTGCTTAAAGCTGAGAATATGGGGCAATGTTTTGCAGTGTCAGAGGTGCAGAGCAGAGGCAAACAGAAAGCCATGCTTGCTTGGGGGTGGAGGTGCATTGATCTCTTCTCTGTTACAAAATATGTGCTGCAGTTTCGCCCCTATTTCACCTGACATCACAGAATCGTGTCATGGTTTGGGTTGGAAGGAACCTTAAAAACCATCTAGTTCCAAGCCCCCTGCACTGGGCAGCCACACCTTCTGCTTGATCAGACCTACTATTTTCGGAAAGAAAACAAAAAAAGAAAACACTCTTCTTTCAGACAAATAAGAAATAACTATTATGTGCTCATATCTTTTGGGGGAATCTCATGATTGGAAATCTTTGAAATATTTTGACTCAAAATAATGCGTAAGCATTTAAGAAGAGCTTTGTCTTTTGTAGCAACAGCTCTGATTAGAAATCTTACTTAAAATGTATCTTTCATTTGCAGCAGGACTTGAGAAAAAAGAAGGAAAAGCAACTAAGGCAGCAGTGCAAGGTAAAAAGAAAGCAAAACGTGTTGGTGTTATCTCTCTTAAAACACAATGGCACAGAAAGAGTAACCTCAGATACAGAGAGCTAGACGACAGCAACCTTTAAATCCATTGGTTCACCAGTATTTTTTCAGAGTTCTGCTGCATTTGTCAGAGCAACAGGGAATTTCCATTATAAAACTGGCTTTGTCCCACAAAACTACCACCCCAGCCAAAAGCTTCAGGTAGATGGTTGTCCGCTTCAGATGAAAGGTTTTGTGCTGGGACTTAGTGTCCCACTGATCTTGCAAGATTCTTCCTGCCCCTGTAGTCTGGACAGGGATCAGCCTTTGCTACTCAGTCTGAGAGAGTAACTTCCAATGAAGTAAAGGGGCTCTCTGAAGTCAGTTGAGCCACTCTTCTTGTTCCAGATGAAATATCAGCCCCATGAAGAGTCACAAAGGTCTCCTGCAGAGAATCTCAAAAACTTTTGAGACCAGACCTTGTAGAAATTTTTCACACAAATCTTAGGATTGGTATGGATAAGGCATGAGTGGGAATGTCTGAGTGGGAACACCAGAAGAAAGGCTGCAAGAACCAGGTGTGGATGGCACATAGTTCAGAGGGGCACAAAGTCTGTATCCAGTGTCCCAAGCCAACAACAGCAGGAATACCAAGGAATGGTCTACACAAAGGCCAAAACAAAACTCAAGCCACCAACTCAAGTGAACACAAAAAGAGAAGGACTGATACCTTAAACCATCTGATAATGTGTCTTTTCCTATTATTTACATTTCTATTATTTATTTTTGTTATTATTACCTTCAGCATTATATCCTGCATACTTGCTTCTTGTACACTTGTTAAACGTAATCCATCCTTTTTTAGGTTAGTATGGTAAGAAGCAAAGTAATAAAAAGGGTGTCTAAATCCCCAAAGCTTATCAGCTTATCAGCTCAGGCTTCCTTTATGTGATTGAGGTGATTTTTATACTTAGTCATGCTCAAATTGGCAGCTAGAGCCCTGATGATGAACTTGCCAGTAACCCTTAGTACAAGGTGTAAGACATGTTTACTGGTGTAGCTTTGGTCAGTCGAGCTATTATCCCTTCCTTTTCTGCAGTTTCTCAGCTTCAGCTTTACTCAGAATTACTCAAGCCACCACAGACACCCTGCAGCAGCTGTCAGCTGCTTGGTAGTTGTCATGGAAAATGTTATAATTAGGTGGGCCTTGGCCTAGATTTCAGGCATTGTTAGGCTGGGTGTCTTCACATTATTTTCCATTGCCACACAAGACCTTCTTCAGACATCTACGCTTCTTCCCCTCTTTTTGTCTGTCTCAGGCAGCAATGAGGTGTGTGGTTGCTGTAAGATTTATCCTTTCTACAACGTACCACCACTAGCTGGGATTTTTTCTGCCAAACATTTTAACTGTGCCATAAAGAGCACAGATTGAAAAGTACAAGCTATAGATACACATGGCTGGCATGGAGCAGGGTTTTCTAAAACACGGGTTGTGATACCCAAGGAACTCAAAAGGGGGGCAAACTGTTTCCCATGACAGCAGTCAGCAGCAGCAGCAGCAGCACTGTCTCCCCATGCCAGCACTATCTGGTATCTCCAAGTCAAAGGAGTAAAAGCAAAATGTATTGTCTGTCACAACTATTCCTGCAGCTACTTCCAGCCCACTGCAACAACTTCCCAGTGCTGGCAGCAGCTCAGTTCCTCTGATGCACAGAAGCGAGCACAAACACTTTTACATAGCAATTCCCTCTGCTTCTCATTTCTGCACCTTATATGTATGGAGCTCCTGCCAACACATTGATCACCCAAAGACAAACAAGCCAAAAAAAAAGAACTTTTCTGAATGCTTTTTTAATATTACTATGTACTTATATTATTCAAACAATTTGCATCAGAACACACATCAGAAAGTAGAGGGATTCAGTCCTGGTCAAAACTGGGACTTGCAATCTACAGAAAAGAGTATAAGACTTGCAGGAAAATCTGGAGTATTGTAGGCTGGATGTGCTCAGCAATCAGCACATAATTTCATTGTTCCAAAAAAATATTTTAGTGATTTGCGCAGCTTTGACCTCAAACCCCCACATCTGGGAATGGGCTGAAAGATTGTAGCAACATCTCAGTTCAATGGTCTTCTATTAGTTGTAAAGCCAAATTACAGGTAATATTTTTAACTGTTAGAAGACGAGCAAGAAGCCACTTAACTTTAATTCTTTGACCTATTTGTTTGAAAAATGTCATGAGCAAATATCAGATGGTTTCCAGCAAGTTAATGCCTGTTACTGAGAATTAATATTTAAAAGAGATGAGAAAAAGACTTGGTTTTTTGGCTTTTTTTCTTGGTATTGGTATCCAATAGTACTAAGAAAGGAGACTTGCCATCAGTTAAAAAAGACCATATCAGACTAAGGGGTGTCATGTTCTTTGTGCATGTATGGCAATAGGTGGGAATCATGACCTTTATTCACATATTCTGTCAAGACACAGTGGAGGTTCAAGATATATTAAAGCACTTAGGGTCAACACGCATTTACATACATTTTCATTAGTTGATTATATTTTTAAAAATTTCCCATATGAACATGTATTCTAACATTTCCTTTTTCTTTTCTCTTTTCACTTTTCTTTCTCCAGATAAACCAAAGATGAAACAAGGAAGTAAGCTATAGTTTCACTTATGAAAGTAACATCTTCCACAAGAGTTTGGGTAACTGTGCTCTTAATAATGGAGCTGTACAACAGCTTTAATTTCTTACTGATTAGCTTCTGAAAGTAGAGCCTTTATGTCATGCTTTAAATTACTTATTTTGGCTGGAGATCTGTCTTCAGCTGTCTTCTTTTTTTTGTAGACACTATTGCACTGAACATGAAACCTTGTGGGAATTTTTCATTATGCACAAGCACAGAAGAAAATGTTTTTCAGTCTTTCCAATGAATTTTATTTCTCTTCGCAGAGTCTTCTGTGATTAACTTAATATTTAAAAATTGGAATTATTTTTTATTAGGACTATGAATATGTCTGAATATGTCCACCAAATATGCCTACAGATATCTGCAGTAAATTGTGTATTTTCTCATTCTGAAAATAAGGGACTGAATAATAAATTGGTGAGCACAAAACATGAAGGTCAAAGCAGGAGACCAGGAGTAGTTTCTGAAGCAGTCAGTCTGAGGTGTAATGAGGAATAGAAGAGACAGCTTTATTTTACTAAAATTGCATTTTTGACCTTGTTCAACAGATTTCTTTCCCAAGTCTTCTCTTTTAAAAATTACATTGTATGGAAGTATCTAGTATTGCCTTTTTAGAAACACAATGTAGAAGGAGAAAAATAATGAAAAATTTATCTCTTGACATCAGTCCCAACAGAAGAGGTCTTTCAATGTCAACAGCAAATTAGGTTTTTCCACTTGATGGTTATTTCTACCATAAATAAAAACTTATTATTTATGGATTCCTTCAATTCAAATTCCCCAGCACCTCAGTTTGTCTTAGTCAGAGACAAATACTAAGCCATGAACAAGAAGCTTTATTGATATCATGATAAATTGCTATTTAGACTGCTACACAGTCTATGCTTTTATAATAAAAGAGACAATTTGTGAACTGTATGTCATTAAGGCAGTAAACAATTTCCACTAAAACTACCTACTGTAGCTTATACAATTTTCATATCTATCTACTAAACACAACCTCCATCTCCTAAACACAAACTCCTCCTCATCAAGAGTTTTGACTTCTTATCCTATGTGTAGAAAACAAGAGGGTCTTCTGACAGTTTTGTTTAATATATCCTGGCACTGAATTGCTGCTGAGTGTTTCAATAGAAGGAACTTTTGTTTCATATGTGATGGAGAACCTAATATTTTTAGTTTTCCCAAAAAACGACCTATCAGAATTTCTCAGATAACATGTATAAAATAGTTTAACCAGCAGTTACATTACTTTAAATGCAGGAAGTCAAAATCTAAGTCTCTGATCTTTTTATAAGAAGACCCTTGGCCTTGTTCAGCAAGAATGGGCAATCCCAGTCAGCTCCAATGAGACAAATTTGACAAAGCATCAGTTTTGACCTTTCTGGTTAAGAGCACCTAAAAGCTGTCCTTGTCTCATACTAAGCTGAAGTTTGCAAATTTTATTATTAAATCTATAATAGTTGATCAATAAAACACATTTTGTGGACTGAGCTTTCTGAATGATGCCTGGTGAATTTTATTCACTTTATTGGTGTGACTAATTCTTTTACAGATCCTGGAAAAGATAAAGAATTGAAATCTCCAGCTGCCACGAGAAATAAAGGTAACATGGCAAGACGAATTTGTATATAACTAAGATCTATGTGCATCCAAAAGAAAAAAAACCTTGGAATGCATTGCCATTTCGGTTTTTAAAGTATGGTTTAGTAAGGAATTTATAACCATTATACTATTTCAGTAAATTTACTATGAAACTTAATTGGCATTACCTGAATTAGAAGTGCAAACAGTGCACTGTTTACACTAGTTATGAAAAAAATTTAGTAGTCTAAACCCAGAATTTAGGAACACTTGTTAACAGTTATTACAAGCTGCAAAGTGAAATAAGTTTTGAGTGATCTTCATTCTTTCTTCAAATTTAAGAAAGTTTGTGGTTTCACTTTGTGAGCACGTTAAAACTGATGAATATTAATTTTGTGCTACACATTTAATTGGCATCTTGTGTCAGTTAGAAACTACTGATTATTCAATCAATCATTATCCTAGCGGCATTTGATGTTAACCATTTAACACTCTAGCTTGAAAATTAATACTTTTTTTTACAGAACATGCTAAAGTAAAGGAAGGGAAGAATCCTACATCTTTAAAAGAAAAAGGTAAGAATACATAATAAAATATAGGCTGTGCTAAAACCACACAAAGTGGAATGAAGATGCTAATTTTTTAAACAATCATTAGCAGTCTTTCTCATTACAAATCTTAACCAATCATAATTTAATTAGTTAAAATATTTTGTAGCATCTATAGAATTAAAAAGGCGGGGGAATATGAATAGAATATATCAAGACAATGAAAATTCAGAGTTCTCAAAATTAATTAAATCAATATAATTAATAACTCTGTGTAATAGTTAAGTACCTTGTAAAGAAGGTCTGAACAATGCTAAGTCTTTAATAGGGGCCAGTTAAGAAATTCTGAACTGAATCACAAATGTGTGAACTAAATAAGAAGTAAGGTTTATGAGCACATGAGTGGGAAACATGCCTTCTATACTCTGTAAAAGTTACAGCTAAAACCCCAGAGCTTCTTCCAGTCAACCATCTGCAACATGAGAGCTGGTCTGAATCTTCCTTCTTGTATTCCTTATCTTTTTTTTTTTTTGGCAATTTGATCAGAGTAGATGGTTAATGCAGTTAAGTTTCCTTCCATCAATTATTTTATTGGGTGCTTTTTACACATTTTATTTCTTCTCTCCTTTCTAGAAGTAACTTTATTTGGAAGAAGTTACTTATGGATAAGTCTTATTTTACATCTTCAGAATAAAAAGATTTACCATATATATAGTCAAGTTAATATTTATTCTAAGTTATAGTCTATAACTATCGCAAGCCTATCACTATATATAGATAGATATGGTCTGCAGTATATAGACTATAATCTATAGCTATTTCAAGTTATAGTCACTCCATGTGATTTCAAAGAAAGAACTGAAGGAGGAGATCAATTCAAGTAGAAAGATGACAAAAACATATACAGGAAAGGAGGAATAATTTATTGCTAGATATATTTTCAAAATCCTAGAAGCTATGTTCATTCAATTACTTCTTTGTTCAAAAATTTGAATTAAATTATGGCAATCTGCAAATTCTCTTGGTGCATATATTGTTAATTTGTGTGTGTTCTACTCCTGATGTACACATGCCCCATTTAAACAGGCTTAGTTATCTGCACCAGAACTGTGTATTCAAACTCTATGGAGTCCTATGGCCCTCCCCAAAGACTGCCTACAATCTGTGTCTGCCTGATGGTGTTGTGATGGAAAAGTAAAAGAAGCACTTGAGTGACAACTCTTCCCCCTCTATCCCTGCATGGAGCAAGTGTATTCAGCCTGCTGCTCCTTTCAAAGGATTACAGGGATGCAGGGAGAGGAGAAAAAAAGAGAGAAGACCAAAAACTTTTTTCTCTTTGATAAGAGTTTCTTTAGAGCAAATGGATAGTGGTTTGCCAGCACTGAAAAATTTTCCATAGTGTGTCCTTTGTTGAGAGTGGCCACATCACTGCTTTTTTGTCTCCAATGCTCTTGTTTAACTTATCAGCAACTTCAATTACTAAGTTATTAGTAATTAGTCATTACAGGTCCTTCTAACGTGACAAAGGAGACAAGATTTTCTCCGCCCAACCTTCAGAAAAGAGCAGGTAGGAATTTCTTTTAAATGTCAATACAGCTGAAAACTTGCTGCTGAATGTATCTGCAAAGACATCACAGGCTCCTGACCCCCTGCAGTAGCACTGATATCCAGCCCAGCTGAGCCTGTCCTTCAGATCCTGAGAGCTCTTGCTGATGCAGCCATCACTGTTTCCCATAACAGGCATCAAACTGGCAAAATTCTGTGCCTGTGCCTAAAAACAAGGATGCTGATTAGTGAGCTGTAGAGCTCAGTTGAAAATATATCAACATCAAAGACTATAGGAACAACTTATAAAGCTTTGGGGAGAAACTTCTAGAAACCTTGGTGCCTTTCTTAGTTGCGTATTTCCTTATTGCATTACGGATCACTCTACTGCATAAACATATATTTCACATATTTGTTCCCCATTTCAGTAATCATATCTGCCCAAACTATGGTTCATAAATTAATCAAAGCCTATTTGCGTGTCATTCCTTCCTCTCTCCACCACCTCTTCAAGCCTTATGAGTGGGCCTCTATAAATGTCATTGACCACGTCACTGGGGACTTTTTTTTTACCCTTTGGGACTTGGTGTTTTACAATTTTTTTCTTAAAGTGGATCTTTCTGGAAAATACAAATGTATCAAAGGACACAGGAAATGAAGGATTTTTAAGACTGCATATACTTCCTATTTATGTATCTTGGAAGTTTGTTACTATTCATGTAAACAAAATAAAGGAACACTTCTGGGTGAAGTGTTAAATACTCGTGGTGATTAATGTGTGTCTGGCACCTCATGCAATAAAGGACCTATCATCACACCTCATTCCCTTTGAAGGATGGGCTAAGTTTGAATGAACACGGATGATGTCCAGACCAAAAATCTTATCCTAAAGCAGGCTATCTTTCATAAACTGAAGCATAGTGGTTTTATTTAAAGCAGAAAGAGGAAAATTAAATCCCTGAATTTGGAGTTGTTGCTGGGATACTTTATAGATCATAACCCTACAAAGTTACTTTATCTATTTTATGAGGTGAATAAAATGTCTTCAGTCCTGGAGCCTAATTTTATTGAGAGTCGTTAAAGAGAACACTGGAATAGTACATTTTCCACTTCTTAGTGATACAGGACATCTCAGGACTCTGTCTGAATTTATAACTAGCTTTTCAGCTCTTCTCTGCAGTAAAGAGTAAAGAAGCCTATTTATATTCACAAATATAGAAACTGATTTTCTGTTGACATAAGCATATTCAAATAACTTGAGGCCAATGAAACTCTAAGTTATAATTTGCCACGTGGTTTTTGGTAGGTATGTTACCCAGATACCTCATTCATTCAGAGGGTGTAACAGTGGCACTAAAAGTTTGTAGTATTTAATATACAACTCTTCATTGGTTTTTTCTAAGATATTTGCATTGTGCTGAGTTATTGACAGCATCTATCCTGTGTATGTAACATAAATTCCTTCTCACCCTGTGTTCTGTGATTTATTTTCCAAACAAATGCTCTTTTTTCTTCTTCCTTGCTTTTGACATGTTTTGGGATATCTTTGAATATTTTCTTATGTCAGCTATGTGTGGATAATAAACCTATTTATTTTCACACACAGATTGATAGGGGAAATAATTCAATAGTGTGTATTTCTTTCTTGCCATATATGTTATAGTATACTGTCATTAAAGAAACAAATGAGCTGATTTGTACTTGCTATGCAATACTTACACTTCCTTTAAAGCAAATGTAACATGAAATAATATCTTGCCTGTGGCATTTTTTTTCTTAACTTGTAATATTTTTCCCCTTAAAAATGGAGTTATATCATGAACAGTAGCAGTTCACATTTCTGTCTATTTCTATTTATTTATCTGCCATTGTCATTTGCATGAGAACTATATCTTTATCCTGAGGATATCACACACTGCTGCTGCTTCATCATTCTATACCATCTTCCTAACCTGACCCAGCTTCACCCCCGGAGTAGAATGTGGGAGGAAAGCATTATGGTGAAAGCTGACTTTAAGCCAGCTTTATGTTTTTCCCCTGCTGGGATCAGCAATAAAGTGGTCATTTCAGAGCAGAAGTTTGATAAGTCCTCAGTAAGTACATGTTTAAACTTCTGAAAATGAAAACCTGCTCCCTGGAAGAAAAGCAGAACTGGTGATCTCAGTATCCTTGGCTCAAAGGGTGGGGAACTTGGGGCAGCATGTAACGTGTCCTGCACTGAGAGTTACATCCAGAAGTTGTAAGGCTCAAAAGTGCTGAACCTTCTTTAGGAGCTACATATAATAGGAAATCTAAGGGAGATCTGCTACATGGATGGCAACAAAACCCACCATGGGTATGTGGCACAAAACCCACAAGGCCAAAGATTTGTGCTGTGGCTGCAAGGGTGGCTGCTGATCACTGAGATCACCAGTGTGCCCAGAGCAAAGTGGTCAAGTAGGGCAGCTGTTCCCTCAAGCCTTTTCATATATTCAATATAGACGCTACTTCAAAAGGTTTCAGGCTTCACCCTGGAAGTTTTCTCTCAGTCCCCTGAAGAAGAATCCACCTGCTGCTGTGAAGATCAGGCTCCTGATTTCATAACCTATCCCTGCACAGTGTGGTTTCTCCACCAGGGTGGCTGAAGCTGGTGGAGAAACCAAAGCTGCTTTTTTCTGTTACAACTCACACTTAAATCCAGATGGATAAGTGGGATCACTTCCTGGTACCATGGTAGCCAGGCGGATGTTCAGAGTTAAAATTATTTTTTAAAGAATCTTCTTTTAGCTTTTTCTGTTTTGCTGAAGATTTAGTTTACTTTCATTTGGAATAAATGGCATGTATTTTTTCTATATGCTTAGGTGCTATATCCTGTCAGATGGAATGCAGTTGGGTCTATTTAGCATTCTGCAGGCTGTGATATTCTCTCACTCAAATAGCATACACTCAAAAGCCTATCAAATTATTTCTTAACTTTGGAAAAAACTGTTTTCTCCTAATTTCCCTGATAAATACACTTAGGATGTCAAAAAAAAGATTGAAAAAAAGGATTGAAAAAAAGAATATTTAAATATTAGTTGTTTACACAACATAGTGTATGCTTTTCCTGTGCTTGCTGACCCTGAATGCATATTCCCTGAAGGGATGAGGTAAAGATATATTCTTCAGAGGAAGAAAGCAGAAACTGTCTTCATTAAGTTTTGGATAAGACCCAAAGAATTCCTAATCCTGTGTCATTGCTTGCTCATTTTCCTCGTCTTTCGAATTTCTCTCTTCTATGTGGTCTCTACAAACAGTCACCAAAAGCAATTTCTGTTCTTGCTTTTGCTACTAACTTTATTGCACCTTAAAAATATGAGACAGTCTCTAGAGAGTATATAAAGAGAGATCAAGCTTGCATATATTTATGTTCACAATTTTGGTCTTGGTTTCTAAATATTTCTTGACTCATCTTTTAAATGTAGTAGGGTACTCCTGCTTTCTAAGTCTCAGAAACTTAATTATCTTCCTACAGTTCCCCTGAAGGTAAAAAATCTCAAGAATCCAGAGAGCATAAGAGAAAAAGGTAAGTGAAGAAGTTAAGAAATCCAGACCTGAATATCACAACAGTTAGTCAGTCTAGAAAGAGCTCTTGAGTAGGTATAAAGAAGTGTGGAAAACCAAACCCATCCTTGTTCCTGTTTAGATTATTTTAAACATGATGTTGTTTTTAATAATATTTGTGCTGTACAGATCCCAGTAGGATCCCTAGAAATCATCTGGGCTTCTTTTAAATGCGAATATTTGAATTTATGTCTTGGGGGAAATACTAAAATTTGGTTTTGGACTAACATCCACTTTTGGATGTTAGTCTGTCAAAAATGAGTTGCTTAAATCCCACAGTGGGAACATTACTGAAGGGAACTAGACTGAATCTGGTCCATGTGGCTACAGCTCAGGAATGTGAGTGTCTGAGAATTAAACTGGCTGATGCTACTGATGCATCCAGGTGTTTGAGGGTGACTGATAGGACAAATTTCTTTTCTTAATTTGTTGGCAATGTGGGCACATACATCTCTGTGTCTAATCCTTTCAGTTGCAAGACCACTGCTAACTGTTCACACAGGGGTCATGGGTTGCTTGATAGCATCTACTTGGAGCACACCTTATTTGTTGCAATGTGATGTGTATGGAACACTCTCTTTCTGTAGAGTACTGAAACAGATGAAAAATTTAAATGAAACAGCAAAGGCTGTCCATACTGTGCCTGGTTCCTGAGCTGGAGCAGCACATATGAAGTCCAAATTGTTACAAAGTCCCTTTTTTTTGGAAACTGGAGATACTGGATGCACTCCAGATTATGGCTGCTGAATAGATATAGAACAAAATTACACACTTCTGCAAGGAATGTATTGTTCCTTGTAAAAATTGTAGGAAATGAAGCCAGGATGTCCCTTGTGGCTGAGAATTCTCCTCTATGCCACTGCTATCAGTCCCTGTGTCTCACCTGGACACCAAAAGAAGATCACAGTTTTCCTTTATTTGTGGTTACCTAACTACTGAATTTTTGGGGGGCTTTTGGGGAATTTGGTTGGTTGCTTGGTTTGGGTTTTTTTTGTCCCTGAGTTCTGCCTTTCCAGTTACTAGAAAGGGAGAACTAGAATTTCAGGTTTGATTTTTTTTCTCATCTCCTTTAACACTTTGTCATATAGTGAAGAAAAAAAAATTAAAGATACAATTAAGTCCCTGGACTATTCATTTTGACATAAAATATGTTAATGTACATTTGAAGGATGAGCACTGCTCTTCTTTTATAGCCAGTGTGCCTGTCATTTTAAAAGGCTATATATGCATAGGAAGTGAAATTCTGTTCACAGGCAATACCTATATGGCCTCTTCAATATTAAAAGAGTATTGGCATCCTGAATGAGTAGCTGGTCCTTTTGTCACTCCTGAATAAAAAACTCCCACTTACCTTTGTCAGCAGCCTCTGGCTTTCAAGAGAAATATTCCTCATATTTCAATTATATCAATGCGGATTAGTTTTTATTTGGGTTCAGCAAAAGAAGAAATCATTGATGCCAACTGCTCTGTAGAATTTCTTTCTTCTTTTTAAGCAATTCTTCATTGCCTGCTTGAGAGAGGGCTCCACAGTTTCCCTAGAATTCAGAGAACCTAATGACATTTTGAAGGCTTATTATTTTGCATATCCAAGACTAGAAAGATGAATGGATGACCTTGTTTTTTTTGTCCTGTTCTTTATTTCCATGCTGTTAAATCTATTTAATTATCACATCTCTTTTGCTCTCCACATATCACATTTTTTGACTTGCTGTCTATTCAAGTGTCATCTTATTTCCCTAACCTGACTTGTGATAAATGTTAAATGTTTCTTTCTAGAGACTGGAAAAAGAAAAGATGTGAAGCCTCCAACAGCCTTAAAGGAAAAAGGTAATGTCTTATAATTATGTGACTGGCAAATAACAAGTCTTCTGCTGGTATCTCAGTGCAGTTTTGATATATTTTGAATTACAGGCTGTTGGCAAAAAGGGACCAAGCTTAGATTCTTCTCATTTAAAAGATCTGATATATTGAAAGGAGCAGTGTCTGACATGATTCAGAAATAATAAAGTCATACCACTTCTTATTGTGGTGTTCTTTAACTGCTGTCTGACCTGCACAGCCAACACTGCAGTGGGAGTGCTAGTCTGTTCTGAGTGAATTATAACAGAGCTGCTGCTAAATGCTGAAGTGATAGGCTGCACAGGAATGAGTGTATGGTTCAACCTGCAGAAACTTTGCCAGCAAATTTAATGGGACTTATTTTTGGTTTGCTTTCAACTTTAGTTTGTGCCTTTTATTGAATTAAATGGAAATTCTAATTCTTAACACATCTTTTTTATGCATTTGGCTGATCTGGTGTTATGCACATTTGTTACAGTACCAAGGAGCACAGTGTATATTTATGTTGCTAATTTTCTTCTTTCATTTTTGTGTTTGATTTCTCTTTCAGACTCTTCAAAACGAAAAGAAATTAAGGCTTCAAATAATCCTAAGGAAAAAGGTAACAATCCCAAGTTGAACTGAACCTTAACCTAAGTTTCAGTTGAGAAAATAAATCCGTTGTTCAAGGTGTCACAAATTAAGTCCCTGTTTCTTTGGTTACTTATTCCTGATTGTCCTTGAATGGCATCCTTTGCTGCTGAACATTTTTTTTACCTGATTGAACAAGTGACAGGTGCATATGAGGCTATACAAAGTTGTAGCTGTGGTATTTTATAGTCTCTAAAGTCAAAAGGAATTAGTTTATTTTTTCTTGATTTTTGTCTTATTTTTTCTTTTTAAATTAGTCATTTCAGATTGCATTTTACTTCTTCTACATATTATTTGATTGCACTTTTCTCTCTTTTCTTATATTGAAATATCAGCACTAACTATCAAATAAAAATCAATAACAATTTATAGTACATCTCAAATACTAGGCATATTTAGGCACTGTAATTATAATTAACCAACTATGTTTAGGTTTATTTATTCATATCAAATAAATTCAAACAAAACTTAGTTTACTTTTATCCTTTTTGCATATGGACTAAATCCACTTTTTCATTATAAAACAGTTGTTCAAGTTAACTGTGTAAATAATGGATAATAGGGATAAAAATATGTAAAAACTTGTTAGCTAATAACAGTCATTTGAGTCATGGAAATGTAGTAGTCAATTTTAAAATCTTCCAGTCAGTTTTGAAAACTGTTTCAGATAATGGAATAATACTGCTTCCTATCTTTAGAGCTTCCCTAAGGAATGCTAGAAGTATTGAGACAATATTTTCTCTGACAAAGTTATGAGAGACAACATTCACAAGTTTTTAAGTGCAGCTATTTCACCTAGAGTATAGCAGACTAGCAGACATCAGCTATTACTTTGCATAGTTGTGTAGTTCTGATTTAAAGTAAAGGCTTAAGTGCAACCAGAAAGAAGTGCTATTGAGAGTAGCCCTGTCAATAAGGACTTGGGGGTGCTGCTGAATAAGAGGCTGGACATGAGCCACCAATATGCTCTTGCAGGCAAGAGAGGCAATTGTTTTCTGGGCTGCATCAAAAGCAGTGTGGTCAGCAGGTCACAGGAGATAATTATTTCCCTCTGGTGTAGTGCTGCATGCAGTTTTTGGGTCCCCAGCACAGAAAGAACATGGACCTGCTGAAATCCAGAGGAAGCCACCTGGGCCAGGTCAGATGGGACTCTGATTTATGTGGCCTAGTTGAAGATGTCCCTGCTGCCATGGGAGGTTATCTTTAAGGTTCCTTCCAACCCTAACCATTTTATATTTCTATGAAAATGAACTTAGGGCTTAAATAGCTTGAAACTCCTTGTAGTAGTCAAAGTAGTGTATCAACTCTAGTGGAGTGTGATAGCCCTGGGTTTACACAGCCTTTACCAGCTTCCCAAGCGAGATGAGCACTACTCACTTCAGTTATTCCTACTGCATTGCATACAGCCTTGTATGTCATCTATGGATGTACTTGATGCCTTGCGCAGCTTGCTAAGAAAAAATGACATCTCACATCTGAGACAGCATTTCTCTTTGACTCTAGCTGACTCTATAAGAACTTAAAATACTTGGATTAGATTCTGTCAGACACACAATTGGGCCAACTGCCTACTAAGTCTTGTGTATCTTAGGTCTGCCCAGTGAGCAGGACTATAGATCCTTCAGAGCCCTGAAGCAGGACTGCAACAGAAAAGTTGAGTAGGAAAGTTGAGCTTGAGTAGGAACATCTCAGGTTGCATGCTCTTACATAATGACACCACTATATGTCAACAATAAGATTCAGTAATTTGCTAGTCATCAAAGTTCATGACACAGTAAATCTTATACAATCTTCCTTTGGAGGCAGTTCAGCTCAGTGGCTGCAGGTTTTTAAAAGTTGTTTCTGTCTTCTCTGTTTCATGTGACAGATATGCTATTTCTTAGTTTCTGGGATTCAAACAAGTACAACATTTCCAACAGCAAATACAACTAACTCACTGACACTGAATATGCATGACAAGACATTGACATTTTGTCAGAAGAGTGTAACCCCAATGCGTAAAGTGGCTTTAAGCATTCATGTGGGATGCTGCGCATCACTAACCCTCCCTTTCTTAACAATGATAAGTGACATGTCACATACATCAGGCAGACAGTTTGAGAAAAGCCTCTCTGGAGAAAAGTATTCCAGAAATTTTTTGTCCATTGCCCTGTAACCAAGTGTGAGCAGGAGGTCACTTTTATGAGTACTTTATTTTTTTAGCCAACTGACAGTGCATGGGGTGTTTCCTCAGAGGACATCTCAGGTTAAACTAGCCAACCAAAAATGCCTTGAGAAATAAGAGTTTGGATTAGCACTTGCTACTTTACAGAAATATGTCAAATCCCGTGTAAATTACAGTCACAGAAGTGGCCCCTTTGTTATGATAAGTACATTGCTGAAATGTGAAAATCAAATTCACAGAAGTTCAATGTAGAATTATAATATAAAATAGAGAACTACTATAAGAGAACCAATAGAGAACTGAAATGTAAGGTAGATAGATTTGGTATAAAAAAATCTCAATATCAGCCTGTTCAAATGACCCATCCATTACAGAACATCATTGCTTCACACTGTTGGTAAGAAATACTTCAAGAAAATGCCAGAGCTTTAAAAGTCAGACTAACATAATGACACATTTTTAACCAAGACTGAGTCATAATGGTGGGTATAAAATTCCCATTTTAAGTCAGAACTTCTCTGTAAATATTCTTCAATAGACACTAGAAAATAAGAAAAAAAGAACAGAAGTAGCATAATATGAATGAACACCAAATTAGAAAAGGGAATTAAGATTTTAATTCCAAAAAGTAGGTTACATAAAGGTAAGGTATGTTTTGTGGCAAACTACAAAGTATGAAGTTGTCCTTGTGGCTTGATACTTGATCTTTTTATTACTTTTCCTTAAAGAAAATATTCAAGCTGAACAATATTTACCTGCATAGATATGTATAAACATACTTTTGGTATGTAAATGAAAGTATGTCTACAGATACTTCAGATATTTCCTGGAGTTAGGGACTGCTAAATGCTGGTAAAACCAGAACTCCATAATAGCATCCTGAAAAGTCCTCTGAATCACAAAATCACAGACTCATTTATGCTGGAAAAGGAGTCAGGATTATTGAATGCAACCTTAGACAAAACACTTCATTGTCAACTAGACCATGGCACTAAGTGCCATTTCCAGTTGCTTTTTGAATACCTCCAGCAATGGTGACTCCAATACCCTGGGAAGTCAATTCCAGTGCTTAGTAACCCTTCCTGTGAAGAATTCCTCCTGATGTCCAACGTGAACCTCCCCTGGTGCAGTTTGAGGCTGTGTCTTCTTGTTGTGGCACTGGTTGCCTGGGAGAAGAGATCGACCCTCCCCTGCCCAGAGCCTCCTTCCAGGCAGTTGTAGGGGGCAATAAGGTCTCTCCTGAGCCTGCTTTTCTCCAGGCCAAACACCCCAGTTCCCTTACCTGCCCCTCATAAGGCTTGTGCTGCAGATCCTTCAGTGCCTTCATTGCCCTTCTCTGGACACACTCCAGAACTTCAGTGTCTTCCTTGAAGTGAGGGGGCAGAAATTAGTCTAATTTTTTTATTTTTGCATGTTTATGCAAAAAATCAAAATTCTTGATTCATAATATTATTTTTTCACATATTATTTCAAATCAGAAACAAGGATTCTCTCTGACTGGGATAATCTTCTTCTCAAGCATAAGCCTGACAGAATCAGGCTTATTCTGTTTTATTGCCATTTTTCTCATAGACTTATAGAATAGTTTAAATTAGGAGGGATCATCTAGTTTTACTCACCCTGGCATGGGCAGGGACACATCAAACAAGACCAAGCTTCTTAAAGCCCTATCAAACCTGACTTTGAACACTTCCAGGGGTAGGTCATCTACTATTTCTTTGAGCAATTTATTCCAGACCCTCTACTTGTTCCATCACCCTCACAGTAAAATATTCCTCCTAATATTTAATCTAAATTTACTCCCTTTCAGTTAGAAGCCCTTTCCCCTTGTTCAGTCACTATATATTCTTGTGAAGAGTGTTTCTCCGTCTTTCTTGTATGCTACTTCAGCTACTGGAGGATGTTAGAGGGTGTCCCCAAAAAATTCTCTTCTTCAGGCCAAACTCAACTCTCTCAGCTTGTTTATATAGGTGCTCCGGCCTTCTGATCATATTCATGGCCTCCTTTAGATTCACTGGAATTCTTCATATCCTTCTCAAGTTGTGGTCCCCAGAGCTAAATGTAGTACTGCAGCTGGGATCTCACCAGAGTAGGACAAAATCTCCTCCCTCGCCCTGCTGGCCCAACTGCTTTTGGTGCAGCCCAGAGCATGGTTAGATTTCTGGGCTCTGAATGCACATTGCTGGGTCATGTTGAACTTCTTGTCCACCAACAACCCCAAATAGTTCTCCTTTAGGCTTTCTTGATCCATTCTCTGCCCAGTCTATATTTGTGCTTGGGATTGCCCCAGTCCACGCAGGATCTTGCGCTTGGCCTTGTTGAACTTCATGAGATTCAAACAAGTTCTCAAGTGTGTCACAATTCCTCTGGATTTATGGCCCCAATTGCACTGGACCAGGCTCCACACACAGCCAAAGGGAACTTGCTCAGGAATATTACCATACCCTTGCCTCGTCTACCAAGTGACTTTACAGAGAGAGGACTGTGGGGATTTAGGAATGCTATTCCTCAATTTAGTGTTCCCACTGAAATACTCCAAACCATGCACTGGTCAGTCACTTTCCCCTCATTCCTCCACTCTGGCAGGCTGGGGAGGAAAATTGGAGGCCCAAAAGGTGCCTCATGAGGGTGTCTGGAAACAGCAATGAAACAAGACAATGACCAGTAACAGCAGCAATATTAATGGCAGAGTGTACAAGAAGAAAAGCAAGTGATTCACATGATGACATTGCCTGTGGAAACACTAACAACTGACCTCTCTGTCCACCACCTACCCAACCTGGAATCCATCTCCAGAAAATGATGTG